TGATCTCAACATTATCTTTTGTGTTGTGCTTCTGTTAGACACAGAGGGTCCTACTGGTGACTATGATCAGTTCAAATCCCATAGTCAGCAGAGTGATGTCATCATTGGGCCCCTGAGCAAGGCCCTTAAGCCCCAACTGCTCCAGGGACTGATCCTGCTTTCTCAGAAAGTGCATCGCTTTGGATTAAAATGCCTGTTAAATAAATGGATTGCAGTGTATGTCAATGTGTATGTTTGTGTGTACATCAGTCAGCTAGCAACTCTCTTATGAACCCCCTTCCACTCTTTTCAAGTTTTTTAAATTTCATACGTTAATAATACAGCAACCAGTGACAAATGACAATAAATAACAAAATAAAAGAAAAGGTCCCTATTGTAGACAAACATACACAAGTGGTGCGTCAATAGTACAACCAGAGAGTTCTGTGTCAAACTCGAACCCTTAAAGAGACAGCACCCTAACCCTAATATTTAAAGAGACAGTGCCCTATCCCTAACCCATAGAGACAGTGCCCTAACCCTAACCCATAAAGAGACAGTGCCCTAACCCATAGAGACAGTGCCCTAAACCTAACCCATAAAGAGACAGTGCCCTAAACTTAACCCATAGAGACAGTGCCCTAACCCATAGAGACAGTGCCCTAAACCTAATCCATATAGAGACAGTGCCCTAAACCTAACCCATAGAGACAGTGCCCTAACCCTAACCCATAGAGACAGTGCCCTAAACCTAACCCATAAAGAGACAGTGCCCTAAACCTAACCCATAAAGAGACAGTGCCCTAAACCTAACCCATAGAGACAGCGCCCTAACCCTAACCCATAAAGAGACAGTGCCCTAAACCTAACCCATATAGAGACAGTGCCCTAAACCTAACCCATAGAGACAGTGCCCTAAACCTAACCCATAGAGACAGTGCCCTAAACCTAATCCATAGAGACAGTGCCCTAAGCCTAACACTTAGACACAGTGCCTTAATCCTAACCCATAGAGATAGTGCCATAAGCCTAACATTTAGAGACAGTGCCCTAACCCTAACCCATAGAGACAGTGCCCTAACCTTACCCCATAAAGAGACAGTGCCCTAAACCTAACATTTAAAGAGACAGTGCCCTAAGCCTATCCCATAAAGAGACAGTGCCCTAAACCTAACATTTAAAGAGACAGTGCCCTAAGCCTATCCCATAAAGAGACAGTGCCTTAAACCTAACATTTAAAGAGACAGTGCCCTAAGCCTAACATTTAAAGAGACTGTGCCCTAAGCCTAATATTTAAAGAGACAGTGCCCTAAGTCTAACACTTAAAGAGACAGTGCCTTAACCCTAACTCATAAAGAGACAGTGCCCTAATGCTAACCCTTAAAGAGCCAGTGCCCTAATGCTAACCCTTAAAGATACAGACCCTGCCGGCTGTCCTCTGTTGTCGTGGAGACAGGAGATGATGGGGGATGGGGACCCAATTCCGAGGACTCAACAGTCTTCCTAACATTTAAACATTTGTGAGGAAGGCCCAGAGGACCCAGGGTTATCAGTGGCAAATTAGCCACTCCACATACAGCAAACTTGATGGGGTGTGTGTTTGTGTGCCGGAAGACAAGGGGGCAGGAGTGGGGTGAAGCATTATGCTGACAGCCAGGTGGGCAGGACCTTGTCAGCTTTCAGTCACCCCCCGTCAGCCAGTGACGGTCTTTATCTCAGCCTCGCTTCCGTGTCCTGTTTGTCAGGGGCTGTGCTGGCAGGCGGAGGTTGGGAGTGATTAGGTCTCTGCTGAGCGCATGATGCTGGAGAGAAGAGAAAAGAGAGGAGAGAGAAGGAGGAAGAGAGGATAAGAGAGGATCTGTTTGGTAACGAAGCTTTTCTGCCCCTGGCGGATTAATGGGAATGAACTGTCTGAGCGGTGAGACCTTTTGTCATCTTTACAAACGCCGCAAATTAACGGCAGCTAATTTACTTTAATTTGGTTTGTTTAATCATCACGTAAGTATTCATACTGGAGACACTGTCAAAACAGGGCATTAGGAAATGTGTGAAAGAAAGACTCACAGCTCCATGCCACCAAACGCTCACAAACACGCTCCATGTGTCATATCTGCACACGTTTATTAAACGACACTTTATAACATATTAACAGTGCGCTAATGTTACTTCACAAGTCATTTCCCATAGTCCCCAGCTGTAGCAAATATAAAAAAATGCTGATGAATGACATATATTGGCATTTTAGTAAATGTTTTTCTTTAAATACGAAAAATCGTTTATCAGGTGAGCTTGATTTTTTTAATAGAAAAGTGGTACTTTAAAAGCCAATTAATACTGTAAAACTAAACTTGACTGGCTAAGTGTCAGTCTGCTCTCCAGCTGTCTAGCATCTCCTGTATAAATTCGCTGCTCCGTTGGTGGATGTGGATCTGCTCTCGGATGGCATCTCTGGCCGCGGCGGAATGCGAGCCGGGATAGATTTCCCGTTCGGGATGAGAGCGGAATGAAGTCAGTTTCGATTCGGCAGCATGTCGCCAAGGCCCTTGCGCCAAAGCGGCTCTGTCAGTTTGACGTGCAGCTGCCACCTCGTTGTGACACGACGTAATATGAAATGATATCGAACAACGCGAGTCTGGCACTAAATTGTTAGCAGGGCTTTAGCTGCGACAGGAGCCAGCTTATCGCTTTAATCCTGGGGTCTTTTAACCCGTCTTGACGTAAATTGAGGTTGGCTTTTGTGGGGAGAAAAAAAAACCCACATTTCACTCTACCTCCCTCTCTCCCACTTTTGCTTTACCTAAAACCGCTTTTAACAATTTGTGCATGCCCATCAGCTGCTCAGTTTGACTGACAGTCAGATGAAAGGTCCATTAGAGGGTGGGGAGAATGGCCGTTCTGTAAGAAAACACACACTCACACACACGAACACCTCATGCCTGGCTATTACGGTCCAAAAATACTGTCAACCAACTGACGAGAACCAAAGAAGGAAAAACATAGAGACATGATAATGCCATAATTACAAGCGGGGCCTCGACTGGAAATCGAATTACCAAATATAACAACGCCTGTCGATTGTGATATCAATGGCTTCCATTCCCATTTGGTGGAGACTGAAGAGGCCTCGTCGCTCTAATTAATTGCCTTGAGCCTTCATTATTTTCAGACAGCCATTGATAAAACTACAGGGATTAAGATAAATTGTGTTTACGACCCACAAAAAAAAAACTACTCATGGAGTGTTAATCTGAAACAGCTGGATATTGACACAGGAGATACTTATAATGAGAACAAACAACACGAGGTTAGGATGCTGAACGTCAGAGTCGTGTGCGTCAAGGCAGAGAGGCGGCATGGTTCAGCAAGCGTCACAAGCATTTAACGCTCATCCTCCTGTACGCTCATCTGCAACTGAGGCATCTCAAACCGAATAAGCGAAATGCCGGCTTTCCTCGGCAATTCAGAGAATGATAAACCTGAAGAGAATCTGGATCTCAGCCAGGAATACTTCTCACGAAGTCCTCAAAGATCAGTGATCTCAGTTCTGTAGTTCCAAGAAATACAAGAGACCGAAATATGAGAAATTCACGAAAGCCAAAGCAGATTTGAGGGTCAAGTCCAGGGATGCCCAAACGTAGCCATGAATGGGCGCTCATTCCAAGAAGATTTAGGTCTACTTTGGTCCAAACCAAGGTCTACTGTGCCTCACACCATATGAAATAAACTCCAGGCTGCTGTAACCCCAGCTTGATAAATACAAACTGAACCTGCATGGATGAATAGGTTTTCTACATGAAAAACAAAGACAAGATTATACTCTAACTCTATGTCTATCCAATAAATCTGTGAAGACCTTGGAGAATCTAGTTATTCCACGGCTCGGCATCATGGAAACCTCCAAAACTAAGCTTAGGGATTACCTTTACAGTCTGCTCTCCAGTAGACCAGATGGATTCTTTTTAGTTTTCCAGCCAAGACAGTGTAGATGATCTTCCCATAAGCTTCCAGCTTTGCTTAAAGCACAATGTCCGCATTAGCAGGTGAATCCAAAAGCAGGCTCCGAGAGGCATAACAGTACGTGTTATGGTTATATTTCGGTCAGCTCTTTAAGGCAATGTTTCCCAATCCAGTCCTCAGGGACCCAGAGGCAGTTCACATTTTTGCTCCTTGGGAGCTGGGAGGAAGCAAAAATGTGGTCCCTGAGAACCAGATTGGGAAACACTGCTTTAAAGCATACATATGTCAGTGCTCTCTTTACATGCTCACCTGAAGTCCCACTACACAACACACAGGCAAGCAAACATGCAGGCACAAAACTTAAGCATTAAGAAAAACCAAGCAATACTGTCAGCATTTGCATAGATATTTGATGGGTATCACAAGCCAGATCTTTTAACAAAAGACATACATCTCTGGAATAATGCACTGTGTGCTGCATCCCTTGGAGGACTGACAGCGTGCTGTGTCTGGTATTTAAGCTCTAGCAGGAAAAACATTAAAGGGCCTCTAAATTGGCTCGTTTAATTAACATGCTGAGAAAGCGTATTCGGCTTTCCACGCGATGGGTGACACGCCGGGGCCCCGGGGCCCAGTGGCCCTTGCTAAGTTCCGCCTCCTTCATGGGCACAGTGTCAGGCACTCGAGATGCCCCGCGTACCAAAAGACGAGCTTCGCCAGATTCCTGAAATTAAGGTCGCCCGCTAAGAAAGTAAATAATGTACCGTAATTCATCAACGCAGCGCGTGCCACAGCAAAGTAACCCGCGTGCACATCGGGGACATTTTTCTATCCGAACTACAGCTGGTCCCGTTTTTCCACTTCAGTTCCTAAGATCGAATTCCGAAGCCATTATCCGTCCCTGTCCATGACTCCCTCCTCATTAGTATTCCCTGCTTGTTAATTCTGAGACGCGGGTCAAAAATAGTTTAATGCGAGTGCATTATCTCTCCTGCTCCCATTATTCTCTCTCACTACCCCCCCCCCCCCCCACCACTACCACTTGTGATAAACAAACGCAGAAACAGGAACATGCTATGGTAAGATCAGTGCAAGATCTAAAGGTTGCTTTTATTTCTTGATTTGTTCTAGCGGACGTGTTTGTACGCTGACTTGCACTGCATCCCAGGTCTGTTCTCTGAGGGGAACCGGCCTGACAGAATCTGACTCTCCTTCAGATACCAGGCTCGAGCCAGAGCTCTGCTTAGACCCACTTTGTGACCCCTTAGACTGCAGTTCTCACTCAGTCTTGTTGTCAGACTGTGCAACTGTAGGTCTCCCCTGAGCCAGCAGATTTTGAAAAGTGTGGGAGACTCCGGGGGCCTGAAATACCTCCAGCTTTGTTAGTTGTCACCACATACTGGGACCATTCTCTGAAGCACTGTCACAAAACCCTGCCAGGCAGCAGGGGGTGGCCGTCCCAATTCAGGCCCAACACGGTTGGGGTTGTCCTCCCACGACCTTGTCGTGAACTGAGAAGGTCACAAGGTCAGACAGCTGTGGTTACTTCCTGGTTGAGCCTTTCTGATGGCTCATTTGTGTTATAGGTGATCTTCATGTTGACTGTGAGTTTGGCTTTTGTTTGCGGTCCTCCAATTTCAGTTCGTTTGACATTGCTTTTCACCTGACTCATAGGACTTTAGCCCAGTTTCTTTATAAGATTCTCTACTTGAGTCTGGTTCCAGTTCATATCCCAGAATACCTCTTCATCTTCTGCTGGGAAGACCTGCCTTAAGAGACATTTACAAATCAGTCCAAGGTCACAGCTACATATCCAACTTTCATTTATTTTTAGTACTTCATAAAGTACTTTATTAATTGTTAGTCAATCAAAAAGAGTTAAAAAAAAGACACAAAAGCACACTAAAGGGGACACAGGATTTCAATAAGTAGTCAGTAATTTGGGGCCTGGTGACATGTGGATAGAGGGTGATTCATTAGCCTGGCCCCTCCAATAGCCCAAGCTAATACGTTCTTCTAATGTGGTGACCTGTGGTAACCTCAGAGTCACCGGGTCGGGGCACACGGTACGTGTCACTTACAGCAGCGCAGCATCCATCTTCATCCCTCTGTGTCGTAGCTCTGACGTGCCCCCCCGCCCCACCCAGGTGTGCTTCACAGTTCCCACTTTTCTTCTCTAAAAACATCTTTAAGCATCTGAAAATGTCACTTATCCATTCATCCATCCATCTTCTAAACACTTATTCTGGTCAGAATTGTTTATTTTCCTTTCAATTCATAGTTGAACATACTAATTTACTTATCTAAGTAATATTATTTAATCCTGATGTTAATATACCAAATGCCAGAATTTTTGTCATTAAACTTTCATTAACAGAAGGTATGATTCAACACATAAAAAAACACAAGAGCAGCTAAACAGCAGAGATGTTTGCTAAAAGGTTATATACAGAGTCTTTATTTAGCCATTGAACTGATATATCGATGACGACTGACTGAGACTGATTGAACGACCTTCATCCATCCATTAATCGGTCAGTTCAGCTTCTAAATTTAGATTCCTTTTCTTAAGAACAGAAATGTATTCCATACCAAACAACAGATCAAATTAAAATCTCCATGAAGTCACAAGATGGCGGATGGATGGAGCTGCATCTCCCATCTAGCAAAATGGCTTTCTGGGTTCTGTTGCGCCTCATTGTCTAAAAATAGGATGAAGACAAATTGTTATCATTTGCAAAAAGCCCATGACAATAATGATGAATGAATACTTTTTTTTTTTAGATCACCCTCTCTGACGCTATTGCTTAAGGCTTTCTCTGTGGATCAACACCGTTACAGCAGCAGATGTGTCTTGAGATCTGCCGAGGTGGTGGCGACTCTCTGATCCGGGGGTGTCGGGGTCTCGTCATGCGGATCAGTGATTGATTTGAGCTTTAAAATGACAATGAAGCCCCCACCACAGATACGAAGGAACTATCGATGAGTAATGCAAAAGGTGATAGGAAAATATACGCTAGATCCCTCTGCCGGCCGCCGCCAGTTTTTGATAAATAATGTTCATAATGGAGTGCTTTAAGGTCATTATTCTGTGACGAATGCAATCAGTTTTCCCCACTTTCCTAAGGTGCCCTTTCCCCCTTAGTTTCATGTGCTCTAGATTTTATTCAAAAGCCATGTAACCGTTTGGGCTGCAATTCAGTCATGCTAAGCTTTCTTTGGTGCTAACAAAATGTTTACTTCTTTTAAACCAAAAAAAAAAAAAAAGAAAAACAAAAGGAAATTACTTTCGCTGTAGTTTATTTTGGCAAGAAGCATGTACAGCACCATTTTTTTGCTCACTAAACATCTGTAAGGATGTAAGATGGGGTAGTAAACTTTAAGTGCAACAAGGTATAAATGATAGAGTAAGAGACAATTATTCAAGATGTAAGGAGTGGTTAAGTAAGAAAGCCGACATTTAATTGGTCAATGATGTCATGTGACGGTGTCATTTTAAAAAAAGTTTGTCTCCCCCCACTGGTGAAAAGACGAAATTGTTGGAGCACCAAAGCAATGACCTCTTTGGTTGGTAACCACTCTGTTGAGAGCCAACTGATAATCAAAGTGGTTATGGGAACATACATGTTCCCAAAAAGTCACTGGTTAGTAATTGTTAAGGGTAGGGGGTTCATCAGTGGTTATTGAAACAGCAGAGCCGCTGTTCTTATGCCAATGAAGTTCATAAAATGGTGCAATTTCAAGATATGCCAGTCACTCTCCCTAAGACCCTTTGCAGCTTACTTATTTAATCGTGTGGATAGTCCACAGCTACCCTTTAAATTTCTGTTATCGTTCCTTGTGTTTGTATAGCTTCTTAATGCCACAGATTTGTCTCAGAAGAGCTGTTACATTTTTTTAAGGGCAAAACAAAAAAGTAAACATTTGTTCAGCTGCTGCTCTCTCTCTCTGCATCTCCTGCTGCCTAAACGATTCGGACATGAAGAAATAAGAGCATAAAAACTGCAGAGGTAGATACAGTCTAAGCGTAGGTATATGTTAAGAGACAAGCTGACTTCACAAATAGTTCTGTGTCTGAATTACTTCATAAAAGCCATTCTTAACAAGTCATCTTGGTACACAGATTTACTGATAGTGTCAATTTATTGAACGCCGATTTTTATTGTGAAAACTTCCTTGAAAGAAGGTATACATCTACACATAAACACAAATGTCAATAAACAGCAGAGATGTCTGCTAAAAAGTTACAAACTGACGCATTTTATAGCCACTGAACCGATATATCGATGATAACTGAACTGAATAGAGCTTAATGGGAAAAGCATTTTAATAAGTGAAATCTTAATTGGTCAGTTCAGGTTATAAATTTGATATAAGGAAAGAAATGTATCCCATGTATAAAAACCATTCTTAAGCCAATAGTTCAGGTTGGCTTTTCAGGTGATTGTTTGACGATCTTCCCAACCAGAAGCGATTGTAGATGAAAGCAATCCCTCTATTGTTCTGTCCACACAGGCCTGTTATTCACACAGCCTCTCAACTGGAAGAGATGCCTTTTGTATCGACCATTTCCCAGTAACTAAATTAAGCGTGAACTGTCTCCTGGAGAGGCAATGGTCGCTGGTTTCCATCTAGAGCACTGGCTTTAGTTTTGGGATTGTACACCCCACCCCCACCACCAGCTTGAAAGACACCTTGGAGATTCAGGGCCAGAAAATGTGTAACAGGTACGTGTCACTGTGATTCTGTCTACAGGGGGAACAAACGCTGTTCGACGCAGACAAAAACCATGGCCCTGTGCATGTAGGAGGCGCCGATGCTGTCAAGGAAGAATGAAAGAGAGAGAACATAAAAAAATAAATAAAAGAGTATTGATTTGTTTCAAATGCCTGGTGGATGTTCCAGAGTACCGGTGACCACAGAATGTCAGCCGGGCCAGTGAAGAAAGGGAAGAGAGTGAGTGAGTGAGAGAGAGAGAGAGAGAGAGAGAGAGGGACAAAGGAAAACAGAGAGAGAGGGAGAGAGAGGATGGGGGTGTGAGAGCAAGGTTCAGAGCCAGTTCAGCTGTACTGCTTGACAAATTATTTGTGGAATTGTTGCATTCACAGTCACTTAAATAGGAATCCGTCAGGGCCTGGGCCAGGCTGCATGCTAGCCCCGCCCTCGGCCCTCCCTCACCTCTAATGGGGGGGGGGCCTCAATGCAACGTTACAGCCTCTTTGCATGCTGGTTCCCCCAAGCCACCCCCATGGAGCTCCAAGCCTCTGAAAGACCCACGGAAGCCCCTTCTTTCTGCAGCTCTGCCACAAACTCCACCTTTAAAATGCCTTCAAGAGGCATTTCTTCATTTCTCTTTGAGGCCAGGTAGCCAAAAACCATCCATCAGAATGGGTGAAAACTAAAATGGATTTTTAAATGAGTCAATCTCATCCTTTCGTTTGGTTGTTTTTTTTTGTATCTCCTGAGTTATTCCGTTATGAGCTCTGAACGTGAACCGATAACTCAAAAATGCTAGGTAATTTGTGCCCATATAATCAGGGTCTGCGTGTCTAAAGGTTGGAAAGAATTGGGTTCCAATCCCAGCTCGGTTCGCGGTCTGAAGCCAGCGTCAAGTCATCGAGTGGCATCGCCCTTTCGGAATAAAGGCTTGTTTTCCTCCCTATCATTTTCAAAAGCCAATGCTGTGCCATTGTAATTGGCCGAGTATCTCATCCATCAACAATGCCACCTCCGATAACAAATGCGGACCATACGAGAGCTCCTGTGAGATCTAAAAGGGGGACGGGGGAGAGAGGAAGGCCACCACCGTGCTCACAAAGGACAGCTTTGAAAGCCGACTCCCCGGGCTGGGAGCGGACGCTGTAATCAAAACACGACGAGGGAGGCCGCCGCGGTCCACGGCTCTGTAAGTGCTGCGCACTTTAAACCCCACACAGCAGCACTCCGCTTAAAAGCCGCAGCAGCGGGTGACCTGATGTGGACTCCTGCACGTCGACGTGGCCCGTGGGGGGTGGGGACACGGTCTGAGTAGTAGCACTACTGTGACAGAGCTCGCTGTCTAATAGGACTGAGATAGCAGCTCAAACGTATCCCCAGCCCATTTGCACTTCTCATGACCACAAACATCTTTTACGGCAGACTGGTTTAATCTGAAGCCAACACATTGGTGATGTTCATTTTTGCATGTATAATTGCATGTATACCTTCTGTTATTTTTAATTTGTATTCATTTGCTTAATGTTCTGTTTGTCTGCACTGTGTTGTTTTGTACTATATGTTTGTCTGCACTGTGAGTACTGTCTTGGCACTGTGTGTATACTGTCTTGTTTTGTTCTATATGTTTGTCTGCATTTTATGTACCTTAATGCTGTATACAGCAGGATTTCTTATCTTATCTTACTTTACCTTATCTGAGTGGTAGGTGCTCAGGTGGTGACTGCTGCCAATGCCGTGAGCAGAATATCGGCACTTCATTGGCAAATGTGGGCGCGACGTGCTGGTGGTTCTCTGCTGAGCATGCGAGTCACTCTGGTGGAAAGGAATGAGTCCTTATGTTCTGGATTGTGAGTGAGCAATTAGGTAAGAGCAGAAGAGCTCTTCAGCCACACCGATCTTAGGAACAGGTTATTATTTCCTGTTACGAGTCCGTCTCTCTCTCTCTCTCTCTCTCACCCTTTATTTTTTAACAAAATGCTTAGCTTAGCTGCTCACTTATTTCTAGTCTTTTATCTCATATTTATTTGAACAATACCAGACCCATCCATTCCTATATAATGCCCAATGACAGCAAGCTTATCTAAAAGTTGCAGTTTTGCATTTTTCCTGGTTGCGGAGCAACAAAAGGGAATAAAGAATATATATATATATATATATTATTTGTTGTTAAAAAACGCCGCCCGCTAGGCTAAATGGCTCACAGCCTTTATCTTGCAGTCCCTTTTATTTAGCGTTTTAGCTACTCGGCTGCCCTTTTAAGAATACTGTAGCCATATTTCCGTGGCACGTCACACATGGACCTTGTGCATGTACGTGTATGAAAATCACACATCACACGCCTTCTCTGAAATGGGACTGAGGTTATACTGTAGAATGGTGGCTCATTTTTGCAAGTATCCCTTCCTCTGCCTCATCATTCAAGAAACCCAGCAATGAGCTGGTCTGCTCTCTGCACCTGTGAAACTACAACATTGCTCATTTTGGAACGTGTCATTTTTTACTTTAATTTCATTTCAAAAGTCACCAAAAACTGAAATGCTGAGGTTAGTCACAAAGGTAATTAAAAAAAAATGCTCCAAAAAAAAATTAATCACTTAGCTGCCAGTAGGCCTGTGTTCATTTGTCTGCTGAAGATTCAATACGGGCTGTAATGTCTGGATGAGTACTTAATGTTCTGATAAACCTTTGCATGGATCTGGCCGTCTCTCTGTGTTGTTATTGACGATATCAGCCAGTGGCCATTCTTCGTTACGACCCACGCTTTCGTGCCTGTGCTCCTCAATAGTTTTATTTGAGAAGTCGTTCAGTCATTACTGCTAATTTGGCTCGACGAGCACCATTACGAGGGGCAAGATCCCCTCTGTTTCCAGAGGTATGAGCTCAGATCCATGGCTGCAGCTGTAAGAACAGAGCCCTAACACTCATCACGAAATCAAATTTCAGGCAGTTAAACCAGAGTGCAGTACTAGTCACACACAAAAAGAACCAATACACGAAAATGCAGAAAAGCACATTTACATAAACAGATACCAGCATGGCTCTGCCTGGTTGTGCTTTTAAATAGCGCAACAAAAAGTACGGGGTTCTTTATGAGCAAAACGGCGGAAGAGCACTGTAAGGGCGGCTATCACTTTGATAACACTTGTCTGCTTCTCTTACGGCCAAAAATGGACGTGTAGTCAGAATGTGTGGTGCAGCGCTACATCAAGGGAGCATGTGACTGCAAAGTGGACGGTGTCTAATTACTGCTTGCGATCACCGAACACCAAGGTAAATTAAATATATAAACCGCATTCTCAGTTATTGAGAAATTAGCATGATGCACTCAAACCAGGGAATTGCTATGAAATTGTTGCAGGCAAAGTCAGGAAGGGTCACCTGCTACTGTAAATGTGTAGTCCTGACTAGAGATCCAGTCATCCTGGAGAAAAAGGGCTTTGTTTTTAAATACAGTAGTATTATAGTCATGTTATTGGTTCCTGCACAATTTCTATTTTTTTTACTGAATGAGCGGTAAAATTCTTCTACGGAAAACACTCAACTTGCCAGGCTGAGGGTGAATAACCTGAGGGGTGAAAACGTAAAGACGTCGTTTACCGGCGGTAACGCCTGGAGCAATGGAGAGAGTGTCGATCTCAGTCTGTCAACAGACTATCCTCACCGAGTGAGCGAGAGGAGGAACAGACCGAGAACATGAGGGCGAGCGTTCAAGCACCGGGATTGTTATTCAGATATCACTGCTCACCAGACCGGAACTGACACGGAGAGACGCAGATCTCCTGCTCGTCACCTTTCTGTCTGTCACTCCGGGAAACCCGCGGAGAGGCTGCATCCCCTCAACACACACGTGTGCAGACACTCACGCACGCGACAGCCTCGCATCTCTGCGTCTGCAGCTCGTAAAATCGGCGTGCCACTAACATCATTTTAAGTGTTAGCGCTGATGATGTCTAAACATGCTTATGGGGGGCAAACATTTAATAACCTAAACTTTTGATCTTTACATTGAAATCGGTATTTTAACATTCTCTCTTTTGTTGTTTGTTTCCTGTCTGTGAACAAATCGTCAGTTCTCCCTTATATCCTAGGGTACTGTGCCAAAAAACATTGAGCGGGCAGTCTTGGGCAACCATATGTGTTGACGAGGAAGAGGGAGATCACAAGAAATGCCAATAATTATGGACATCAATTATTTTCTAATTGTATAAGAGTACAGTACACTAATTAAAGCTAGTATATCTTGCAATGCCAACGGCAAAATTAATTATTAATTTTTTATTAATATTCACAAGTAGCACAGGGAATATATTAAAATGATTTTGTGGCCAGGACTCTTGATCTTGCTGCCTTGTATATATCTAATGAGTTTTAGCTAAAAGGATCTCTCCCCCAAACTACTCTGACCAACGTGGACAAAACAAAGAAAAGTGTGGCTTAAATAGTCTTCATCAGGTGACTGGCCTAACTTTTTGCTCGGATGGACTGAGGGAAGCAACAGGGTGGCCTTTCACCACCTTAGTGGAGCTAAACGCTAATACTCACCTTGTCCCCCCTCCCCCATTGTGACATCACTCAGCAAGCAGGGAATTGGCGCCTCAACCAGGATCCCTTTCATGCTAACCGGTCAGTCGATGAAGCCACAGAGACCCCACCTCACAGATCACCACGGTCCCAAAGCAGACATGGTGGCCATCTTGGTCAAGGATGGCCTGTGTCTTACAGCAGCTTGAATTATATTCCCTCCTGGTGCCATCCTTCCCCTGTACACACAACACAAAGCAATTATTACTTTTATTTGCAATATAAATTAAAAACGCAAGCAATATTTGCATATAACCAGTTTGACAATATCCACAATGGAATTGGGGGGGGGGGGCACAGAAAATGAATCACGTAGGGAGAAACCACTGCACATGCAGAAAGTTAGAAAGATTGTGTCTGCTTTGTGTAACCAACAGACACCTGAATAAAAATAAGAATAGATCATTTGACTTAAGACTCTCAAATAATTTGCAATTAAAGTCATCTGTCTCCACTCTTGCACATACCGGCGGTATTTTTCAAGCTAATTTCTGACGGTGGCCCATTATTTTTCATCAGCCCAGTATATTAGACGCCCTCCCCCACGTATCAATTTCACTTCGTAAGGAAAAAAAAAACAGCAAAACAAAAAAAAAAAGAGGTAGCGGCGTGTCTCACACTGTATCAAAGGGCTTTCTTCTTAAGCAGAAAGAGGTATTTAGTATTTTTAATAAGCGTCTTCAGTACTATTGAGTTGGTTTCTTTGTTCATATCACAAGATTAATTATGCTGTCAGGCCTTTCCGAGGCCTGCTTAACAAAGATTCAGTGATATAATGGTTGCACTTTCCGCAGCCTGTCTCTTCCTGCGCGGTAATAACAATCAGCGCCCAAATCCCCCTTCGCAGACCGCACAGTCCCCGCCGCCCCTTTAATAAAAAAGCCGCTTTCAGCTCGCAGATAGAAGCGTATCAGTCGCTCCGGCTCGGTCCGTCGCGCTCAGAGTCGCGCGGCGGTAACGTTCGAGAACGGCGTACCTTTCGGAGTGTCAGAAAGACCCGAAAGTTCGCAGCAGTTCCCGCAAGGCGCGAACCCCACGAGCGGCACGTTTGGCTGTCGTAATTAGCCGGAGCGTAAACAGATCGCGGAGGGAACGTTTTCCCTTATTGCAGGACCATATTGCAAACACGTAGCATCTTTCATTTATTTTTTCGATTAGTTTGATTTATAGGTGTTAATTACTCTAGCTGTTAGACTAAATTTCGGAGCAAAAGGTTTAAGGAAACAGCTGTGATTATTTTGTAAATAGTAAGCTGCTAAAACTGGCAAAAATTTAATCTATTCAGAAGATATATTTAAACAGGCATGAAAAAAATATGCATGCTAGATTAACTCAACGGATTAAACTGGGTAAATTCACACCCGTGTTAATAATGAAATCAGCAAGACCTTAGATTCCCATTGTGCTGATAAAAGGGAATATTTATAATTGTACTGTATGCCCGTAAAAATGTGATTTAGCTATCAGCGATTCAGTATTTTGAGGAAACATTCTCATATGTAGCAAATACAGCAAATCGAATTTTAATTTCAGAGAACACTGCTGATTGTGAGTCTGCACTTGGGGAATCTGATCATTGTTACAATGGACAGCAAAAACACCATATATATATCAACGACAGAGGAACCTTGATAACTACTGACTACATCCTAAATTAATTTTAGTATCTCCTAACCTTAACACATTAGAGCTGGACATCTGCCTTAATCTCTGCAGTACATTTAGAGAATTTTCAATAATTAAAATTATTTTGCATGAACAAAAATGTATTAATCAGTTGCTTACATAAAAAGGAACAAATAGCTACCCAGTTCTACCAGAATACTCACACTTCTTACAATAGGCTGCTTGCTGTCACGCTATCTATTTTTTATTTTATTTGGACTAACTCTTCTTTCCATGGCTACATTTCTTTTCAGAACTCCCAGAATGCAATTAGCAGCAATCTGCAGTGAATCTCTCAACACCAGAATTTAGATAAATGGCCAGAAAGAACTGCATTTCATAATAGGTTCCTGTAAAATGCTATGTTTGTGCGAGATATTCTATATTATGGACTCTGTAACCCCTGTTTATGTTTACTGTAGTGTCCTATCGGTATTGGGAGGTGCTGCGCATTGTTCGTTTGTCTCTAACACATTCGGTGGTTTTCAAGTTCACGTCTTAGGTCAACAGCCTCTGTAGTACATGCTCAGACTGTGTCTGCTAATAAGAATAAAGGTAAAATGGAGGGGGGGCACCTTGCCACATCTTCCAAACTTGTATCCATTTGTGAAATAATTTTGATGTAATTCATAAATAAAGAATACAGGTTAAGAGGGAGCGATACACTGACTGTAGTCACTCTTTCCATTTTAATACTAATTGTTTTAAAAGGTATTGCCAATTGATTCATGTCTTCTAAATGTTTAATGACACGTGGGATTGATTTATAGAGAAACGCCCACCGTCGTATTGCCGAGTACAACATATTGCTAATTGTTTCAGATGTGATGTGTACCTTCAATAAGCAGAGCTGAGCTCCATTCACTTGTCAGACTTAGATTCCCCGTTTATTGAAACATGTCTCCAGTGCATGTGTGTTGTATAGTGTTTTTGTACAGTTGTCAGTGCTTTTGTAAGGGTGTGTATTTGTGATAGCCTGGACGTGCGTGCTTATATAATTCAAATATGAATACATTGGCTTCATGCTTGGATGTGCACTTCTGCATGTGTGTATATAATTGTATGTTATTGTGTATTCGTTGAATATTAAATAAAAAATTACGCGTGTACATGCTACAGTAGCTTACTGAGTGCTTGTGTAGGGTATAATATTAGCATGATAGCTGTGCGTGATAATAACAGGTCATATAGTTTTTGAAGTCATAACGTGAAGGTTGTGCGGGGTCAAGTCTCAATACAGGCCCTGCAGTTGTACCCTGGGGCGACGTCTGGCAGTCTGTACACAGCTGAAGTTCAAGCAAACTCTGGATAGATGTGCAACATAGCAGAGGTAATGATATATTGTAATTGGCCATTAAGCACGTGTGTGTGTGTGTTTGGGGGGGGGGGCTTGAAGTTCATTGCCTGCCTGTTACCCCACTGTAAAGGGGGGGGGGGTATATTTATGTCACATACAATGATATCCGATCTCTCCCATTCCTTGAGCCAAATGGAGTAGAAGGTGTAGGGGAAGTAACGGCATCAGGTGACAGAGGGGAAGTAACGGGGTTAGGTGACAGAGGGGAAGTAACGGGGTCAGGTGACTGGAAGTAATGAAGTCAGGTGACAGAGGGGAGGTAACGGGGTCAGGTGACTGGAAGTAATGAAGTCAGGTGACAGAGGGGAGGTAACATTGGTCAGGTGACTGGAAGTAATGAAGTCAGGTGACAGAGGGGAGGTAACGGGGTCAGGTGACTCAGGGGAAATAATGGGGGTCAGATGATAGGACAAGTAACGGGTCAGGTGACACAGGGGAAGTAACGGGGGTCAGGTAATGATGTTTGCCAGCTACTCATGTTCAAGTAAGTGAGCGTGTGTGTGGTGGGGGTCCATGGGCAATCTGGAGATACAAATCTCTAAATGATGAAATTTATGGGGGGAGGGGGGGGCTCTTAGGCCAATTTTGTGATAATGACAGCTATTATCGGACATTGCGAGGACTACTGGGATACACACACAAATATATATATATATATATATATAGATAGATAGATAGATAGATAGATAGATAATTAGCAAGCTTGAAATCTGCTCCTTGTTGGGGGTGACGAAACTACTGTAGCTGTCCTTATGTGTAAATGATGCAAGCGGGCCGGCTCGGCGCAGACAGAGAATGGGTGGGCAGACGGGTGAGCTGGCCGGCTGGGCAGTGCTTTGGCACGGATGCTGACAGCCTGCTGCGCTATAATGGATGCCGTTGGCTGCTGGGATTCCTCGTGGGCCTGACACGGGGTCCTGTGAGCAGGGGACAGCGCTGTCGAAGGAACACTGTAAACATGCACAACAAAGAGGGGGCCGAACGGGGAATTCCTGACGAGCAAACAGCAGCCGGTGGGTGGACGTCTACAGCCGTGCCTGACCATGAACCTCGGAAGACTGGCAGGGAGGGTGTGTGTCCGGGGGGGGCAGCAGACATTTTTGAATGGGGTGGCCAAGGATTTTCATGGGGTGACACAAGCACCAAGACTTGATATATCACATGATATATCATGATGTTAGCGATGGGGGGCGTAGATATGGAATGAGTGAGAGGAGATGAATTATAGGTGACCCCCCACATAGTAAGTATTTGTGATTCATATTTGTATGAATTATTATTATTATTATTATTATCTAAACCGCTCTGTTTGTTCCATTCCAATGTGTTTGAAATGGAATATTGCTAATTAATTTAAAATATAGGTAATTAATTTTAAACTCAATAAGAGTAATTAGGATTAACCACATTCACTGAATTAAAAGTGTTACAAACCTGTTTATTCAGAAGCACTGAACTGACCACGCAGACTGAGGGCAGGACCTACACAGTTAATGGTACCACAGCTTTCTTTGGTTTTGCTTCTGAAATAAAATCTTTACAGCCGCATTATGGGGCTGCACAGGGCTGGCCGGAGAGGGGCCCTTGCATGTGTCCTTCCAGCATGGGGCAAAGGCAGGTGACTTGCTTATTCAGCCACTGCTTAATTACCAGTAACACAAAACAATCGTCTCTGTGTCTCTTGGCAGGATGATGCACCAAGGCCTTGTCGCTCCTGTCTTGATGTCTGTTTCTTCTCCCTGCGGTTCCTCTTGTGCTGAAGCCAAAATGGCTGCCTTGTTTTCATCACTGCATCTGTTTTTTAATCCTGCACCCCAAATAAAACCTCCATTCCACCTACCCATCCCTGCATCATGTTACTCTGTTGGTTACCCTTTTGAAGCATGACTTACAAACTCATAAGATCCTCCAGTGATCCACACCGGCCTTTCTCCTATGTCTCCTATGCCCTACTCAAAAAGCCACTTTATGCAGTTTGTCTCTTCATCATGCATTTCTTTGTTTGTAGTAAAGAAACTGCTCAGCTTAGGCAAAATCTTTTGTCAGACAATTCCTAATTGTTCCTATTCCAGATTTTCTTTTTGTGGCAATGCTAGGATACAATCACTTCATGGATGCATATAACATTACAGTTAGCAGAAAACTGTAGCTACAGTAGCTAGTGGAACATGCTGCTTCTCCTAAATAAGAAATGTGTTTATTTAATATTTAGTGTAGTAACTGCTTGTGGCGATCCACAGATGCGTGTTTTGAGTGGTGGTAAACAACAGGAGGGTACAGAACTACACGTTCAGTGAGGGCCCCAATACTTCTGTTGTACTATTACAGAGAAACTGAAAAGTCAAATGACAGAGGAGCTGTCCAACAAAAACATGCAAGGAGTTTAATCTATTGCTCATTAACTAACCTTGGTCAGTCGAATGTGCCTAGTTCTGTGGGCAATCGTTTCAACTTTAAGGAAAATGTACATCAACATCATATTCAGCTTTATTCCTGTAAGGATGCATTGTGTTGCCATTGCTGTGATGTTTATGCTTTTGGTTTCGAGTGAGAGACCAGAACTCAGATTCGTCATAAACAAATTACAGGAATTCCACGAGTGACTCTCTTTATATTTAATTTGATTTAATATTGACTTTTCTTAAGGTATGAATCTCTGGTATGTATGATATTTTTATTACGATAAACAGGTATCATATGCATTTTGGTTTTTCTGGCATGAAATATCTTTTTAATATATTTATGCTGTGTGTTTCCTCAGACATCTAATCATTTGGTTTGAATGTGACATTACATTATATTTAAACCTGCATAATGCTTCGAAGACTTACTGTTTTACAATTGTAGCAGTTTTTCTGTTAAAGGTATTCAGTTGTAAGTGGAGTGATGCATGACCACTTAAACCACGATCCACTTCCTGTTTCCCGTTTCCCTGATCAACC